GCCCCCCCACCCCAAGGGTCCCCCCCCCCCCCCCCCCCCCCCGAGCCAACCCCTCCTCTCGAGGGGGCGTGGTCAATGGTCTAACCGCTAAGGGCATTAAAAACACTCCCCCCCCCCGGTATTTCGACATTGAGCAAGGGGTCCCACAAGGTTGCACGCTGTCCCCAACATTGTTCCAGGTGTTCATCAACGATCTGTTGGAAGTCGTAGAGGCAGTCCGGAAGGGAGTAAAAGTAGGGGACACGGAAACTTCGGTGTCAGGAATGCTGTTTGCGGATGACTTTGTTGGTATGTCGGACACCCCTGAGGGACTGCAACTGCAAATTGACGCGGCGAAGAAGTTTACTGATAAGTGGAGATTGTCTGCCAACGTTACGAAGAGTGCCGTCATGGTATGCAACGAGGGCAGGGAGGAACCAGTAGAACATAGATGGAAGTGGGGGATCGAGGAGATTGCAGTAGTCGATCAGTACACATACCTCGGAGTAGAGATCGCAAAAGATTGCTCGTGGAATGCACACATGTCCAAGGTAGCGGAAAAGGGCAAAGCACGAGCAGGGAAGCTGCACCCAATACTCGCAAACCGGCACCTTGATACACGCATCAAATTGACGGTTTTGAAGAGCGTAATCGTACCGCCGCTGGAGTACGCCGGAGAAGTATGGGAAGGAAATAAGAAGGTAGTGAAAGAACTCGAGGCGGCGCAGATGAAAGCAGCGAAAATCATCCTAGGATGCTCCAAGCGCACAAGTAATGCAGCAGTCAGGGCAGAATTGGGGATCCAATCCCTACGGTCGGGAAGAGACGTAAGGAAGCTGACATGGCAGTATCGCATGTGCGGGATGGGAGAGGAGAGGTTGCCGAGAATAGTATGGGAGGCGAAGTGGGCAAACAAAAAGAGGGGTAAACAACCCACGGAATGGGTCAAGGTTGTAGAGGACGTATGGAAGGGATTGGACATCGACGAAGATGAAACGCTGGAAACGGAGGGTTTACAGGGGTTCAAGAAGAAGATATTTGTTGCTTGTGCCGACAGAGAAGAACAGAATTTAAGGAAAGAATCCAAGGATAAGGAGGGTCTAGAAGTGTACGGAATGTTGAAAGAAGGAATAGGGTTCAAGGATTACCTACATGGACCAATGGATGCAGGGACAAAGCTTAAGGTCAAATTCAGGACCGGGGACATAGGCCTTCGCGAACGTCGACGAAGACATAGGACGGTAGACGACGAAGACGACAAGTTCAAATGTCATTGCGGCTTCGAATGCGAAGACAGTGTTCATGTAGTCGCGGAATGTCCGTGGTACGAAAAGGAGAGGGAAGTGTACATGACTGAGCTGGGAAGAATACAAGGGACGTACAGGGAGATGTTTGAGGCATGGAATAGAGAGGAGAGGACGGTAGCGGTACTGGGGAGTAGGAAGTGGTTTGAAAAGGCGGGAAGTGACATCGGTAGGATAGACAGACTAGGGAAGACATTTTTGAGCCACCTTTGGCAAAGTAGGAAGGAACGATTGGCCATCGGTGATCGGTCCTGTGGGAACAATGCTCCGTCCTCTCGAGGACGCGTGGTCAATGGTCTAACCGCTAAGGCATGCAAAGCATAAGAGTACGCCCCCCCCCCCCCCC